ATTACCCCAATTTACTGTATACATTTCACTGCTATGAAAGTCGGCTGAAGAATTTCGTCTCCCATAAAATGCTTACCAAGTATCACTTTAGCATGCTTCTCAGTGAGAGTATTAAGCGTTCCCACATACCGCCCCGCTGAATACCGCAGGGCAAAATGAATGTCCATCCGCAAGTTCCTCTGAACCGTCCCAGGCTGGACATTGCGCATCATCCGACAAATTATACTTCGATTTTACGTTAGTGGACTGAAAAGTTAACTGAATTGCGTTCATAGAAGACTCATTCGTTGGCATGCCCAATAGGATTTGACAGTCATTTTACTGTTACTCCCATGTGTGCGGTTAGAAGATAAGCTTCTTCAACGATGCTGCAGCTTAGAAATGCAATCATCCATGTGAAACCATCGATGATTCAGGGCCTGCACCGAATCGGGATACTCATCTCTAATCTATGGCAGCGTTTTGAGTGCAAGTGACATTGCACCGAGAGGGCAGAACATCATGTGAAACACTTACAATTGGCAATACGGCCGTTACAGGAGGCAAGGATAACCCATCTCTTACGGTGCCACCCTTGCTTCGATATCTGCAATCATCGCAACGGTACGCGGTCTGAGGAACCTCACACAGAAAACTCTTACTATGAATGCTCCAGACGAGCGAGGTTCCGTTCAGAGCTAACCGCACTCCCAAATGAGGCTGCGTGTTGCACCGCAAAGACAAGGAGGGTTAGCAAATCTCAGCAATAGATTCATAGTCGCCAAGACACAATCCCATCGCGCGGTTAAGCAGTTGAGGCGCCAGATATCAGGTTCATCACCACTTGAAGAGCGCAAACAAGCGTGAAATCGTTCTTCAAGCGTAATGTCGTGAGGAAACAACACAGAAAACTCCGGATCTAGGATGCGATCTGAGTGCTCGGAAAAACCGAGAACTGCGGCAATGGGGATGTCTAACTGCTTTACCAGTCAATACACGCGCAGCGCAGTGACCTGGTCACCAATCACTACAGAATGGGCTCCAACCCCACCTGTTGTGGTGTTCGGTGCGAGGGAATGAGCACCACCGCATACATCCCCAGCTTGGATTGTTTTTAAACGAGCGGAATGACCGAGGTCCAATGTTCGGTTGTGCATCGCATTCCCAAAGGCAGTCGACACTGTGAGACCTAAAATAGGGGACATATCACACTTTCTGAAAGATAATGAACCAATTTGGGATATACACGATGCGCCTGCATAATCTATCCGTCAAATAATGAGAACAACCCAATGGTACACCGCATTTTATGCAGATGAGGAAGTTTAGAGTAGAAAGAACAACAGTACAGCAGTATTCAAGGAGATTTTAGACAAGTATAAAAGCCAACAGTCGAAAGGATTGCAGGGAAGCACAAGATAGCTCTTGAGGTGTCAATGCAAACCGGACTCGATCATCAGCAGATGGAAGAAAATGTGGTTCGAGATGGCCATCACTTAAAACAGGGAGTATAGATAAATGGGGCCAATGTATCACTGAGGTCCGGACAGGTGGGGGAATGGGGGTTGTACGAAGATCAAAAATAAAAGCACGAAAATAGGAGATGAAGATGACGGATGAAGATTGAAAACGTTTTGAAATAAAAACATATGTAGGAAAACACCATGACGTAGGTGACGGTACTGTACACACAGGAAGGATGAAGAAGCAGCTAAGTCATCATTAAATATAGCAAGGTGTTTCTTGTCCAGTAAGCAGGCGGAATACGGAGGTAGGCATTGTGCGAATGTGAATCTGAAAGTAGTAAACAAGGTTGTGTGTTAACGCTTATGACGAATCTACTCATGTTCAAAATAGATCAGATGTCAAGGGAGGAGATAACACGGAACGGCATGTGAAGTGGACACTGGGTCGACTGAGGCTAGTTTTGTGAGTTAATAAGAAGCAAAAGAGAAAAAGTCGAGGTACGTTGAAATAAAAAGCTGAATTTAGGGAGCACGCTGTGTGGTTGAGTTGCGACTGGCAACCTCTATTGAGACCTCGGCAAACTTTGAGGTAAACCTCGGTCATTCCGATCTCGAGGACCGTATCCCGAATGGATATATTTGGGTGTTGCTCTTCCCAGTGTGGAGAAGAGTAACACCCAAATAGATCCACGTTGAAATAAGCTTCACAAATAGCAAACAGTGTCTTCAGCAATCACATTGGCACCGTGGATGTACTAAAGGACGGGATGAGTCCAGAAATCTAACACAAAAGGAAAACTATGAGATTAAGCAGACATCAAGAAGACAACCGTGGGACTTAAGGAGGAATTTTGTTGGGACAACGAGCAAGCGCGACAGATGCGGTAAAGAAGCGGTAAAGAAGGCTCGTGCCGCGAAATCATTGTTTTCATTACGGATTCCTTCACGGTGTGCTCTGTCGCCCCATCTCGGCTCTGATTCGCTGACTCAATTGTCAGCCCAACTATACGTTCCCGGTCATAAGGCCCACTTGCACTTTGAGGAGTTGTTTCACTACCACACCTGTTTCAATCCGTTAACACTGATGTACATTGAGGTGAACGAGATCTATGCTTGTTACAGATGGCATCGCTAGTCGCTTTCTGGGCGATCCGATTTCTTTTGATTGTCTGTCCCTTGGCGTTGTTCGGATATAAATTGAAGTGACATTAGATCGTTAACCACATGCTTACGGGGCATTGCCCGTGTCGAATAACATCAAAGTGTCCACAAAAATGAGGTTTTCAAACGAGTAGTGAATAAGTTGCACGTGCCACGTATGCTGGGCCGACATTTAAAGCTGAGGATAACTCGATTTTAGTTACGGTACGCATGAGCCCAATTGTAAATTTAGTGGTGGGAAACGAAACCACTGACTGCTGAAAATTGCACCATTGACACCTTTCGCCTTTCAGGTTGCAGCCCACGCAACTCACGTACTTGACTCGGCACCTCGCCAGAAGCTTGTACGAGGAGAGCAAATTCAGCCGATTCGTATTTAGACTATCCATTTGAACCTTGGTTGCACTGATTTATCTACAACGCAGGGTTGATTATGACGTAGGCCGATAAGTCATGCAGAACACAGCTAGTCAATACCACCATATTTTCGAACAGTAGTGCCCTATGCAGTTTCGAATAACCAGGTAGCAGCATTACGTCCTTCAAAGAAATGATGGACTGTTCCGTATTGCACTCGAATCTCTTATACCCTAATTCGATGTTCGTGTTTTTCGACGGATTCGTAGTTGAGGACATCCGCTTCCGGAGTCGCCTGTCACACCGGTCTCCATAGGACAACCACAAAACGCTTGCGCCTACACAGGGACCATGGGTAGCTTGCGTTGAACCGCCAACAGCCCAATATCCACACCCCTAATATCAATAAACGGAGCTAGCCCACACTCCTACAATACGAACATCAGCAGCATTCCTGTCTATTTATGTGGAGACTCATGCGTGCCAGACGTAGGTAAGGCGGTGGTTGAGCTTTAGTCCACTCTACACTAGATGGAACCACCCTTTGAGCCTAGCACCGTCACGAGGACTGCGCATCCTGTCTATCCCAGTAAAGATTAACAGTCTCTTGAAGCCAATCTAATCCAGGTGGATGGCAACGGACAGCTAGGTATCTTGTCAACATTCACAGCAAGAGCAGCCATGCACTACATATTACACGGGAGATTACATGTGTCAAGCACATTAGTCGCCTGGGTTAGTAAATGGGATTGAACCGGAAGCAGCGCTGCGTTGATGAGTACATATTTAGCTTACACGTCTTAGATGTCACCACGTAACAGCGTCCGTCTTACTAAGCCAGTTTGGCTGAGGCACTCGCGACGCATGCGCTACAGCACAATGCGATCGACGTCGATAGGCCATCCCCCACTGACGCCTATGGCTTCTTCAATCAACATTTCTTTTTGCATACAGTTGTGATTTCTCATGATCATCGCCAACCACCCTCTTGATATGCTCTCGCTATCGGCGCCGACTCACCGTCACTGCTTTCCTATACGCAGAATATATATATATATATATATATATATATATATATATATATATATATATATATATATATATATATATATATATATATATATATATATATACAATGGCAGTAGCGTGCGATCGTGTGGTGCTGGAAGAGCATAAGTACTTCAATTGCGTCACTCCGGGACGGCGACGGAGCGAGTGATTCTTGAAGTGAATCAGAAAATGGTTGCAGATCGTGACATGATTTCGAACTTCAGATTCAATTACAAACTCTAGTCACCGTTCAAGCCGCACCACCAGAACATCCAGCGACTCATAGATAGGAAGCCTACAGGACTGCTTCTGAAAAGGCTCATCGTCCACGGTTGCCTGGCCAATTGTGAAGTGAGGTATCTGTTTTGTCACAAACCACTCACGGACACATGAAATCCGGGGACTACTTGTGCACATCACTTAGAATAGTCTATAAAGTAACCACACGTTGTTGCTTCCTCTACTTGCTAATCCTTTTGCTTTGCCGAATTTCAAGCGCCGTCTTAGCTTGACAACCAGCTCGACTGTATTGTATTTGGAGAATACAGGGAACCCTCTGGATTCCGTTCGTTCACCAATCTTCCAGATACCAAGTATCCGGTGAGCAAACGACGGATAGTGCCGTGTCAAAAGAAAAAGTAAGGGGTGGTTATATGGAAAGTAGGGAATAGTTTTGAAGTAATATCTACTGCATGGAATAAATAGATTGTCAATATTCCGGGCACCTAAGTCAACACTGTGAGGATGTGGCAATCTACTCAGCAGGTGGCCACTGGGTAAATGTCAAGTGCAAGCTGACAGATACACGTACAGAAAGACAGATATAGATATTGATATATTGGAAAAACGGGAAGAATAAAAAACGCATCGAAAGACGCGGGTGAATGTCGAACCACAATCAAAATAACATCGGAGGAGTCACATGCTCGTTTAAGAGGTGCAATGCGATAGTAGCACAAATAATGATCACTTGTAATGGACACTGACCTCGCCAACAGAGCTAGACAAAAGCTGAACTATTTTTTCATGTGAGACAGCGACGACACTTTGGCCGTTGATTTCGATGATTCGGTGGTCCACTCGAATACCACCACGTTCAGCGATTCCACCCCGAAGGAGGCTGCATATCATACCGTCTTGAACGCTGAAGCCCAATTGGTAATGTGGGTGCGGACGACGGATCAGGACTTCGACGACCGGGGGACAGTCGACCACGACAAGCCTCACGGACGAGTGTTTGCGGCAGGCCTAAAAGAAAGCGAAAAAAGGATGAGGATGAAGAGACGCCAAACTCGCAAGCTGATTTGAACCCAGTAAAGAACTCTATCCCAAATGGGTTCAAAACTGACAGGATGAGATAGAGAACGACAACGGTAGAACACCGATTAGTGGATTCCATGGCAGCGCACCGCATCTTGGGTGGAACACGAATCTTTTGTACTGATGAAATAAAGTAAAAAGTAGGTGTTACACGAGGCACACCTAAGAAGGCATGATTAAACTATGCCCATCATGTATCCATCAATCGTCTGACATGGCACGGCTACATTGTACTTGGTTGTTTGAAGGCCTAAAGTATTAGGGAATGAATGTAGAGGTTAACCGGAGAGTTGTATCGGGATCGTCAACGGTAATCGTCAGGTACCCTATCGAACAACGTATACCTAGGAAATCAATGGCACACTACAAAATATTTCGATTTAAAGAGTCGTTCTCCTACAGAGCATGCGAACCTTTCATAAAACCTGTACTTCAGCCCCACAGATTTCATTGGGATCCAAAGAAAAGTACTGAAGTCTGGAGATCACAAACGGTGGTGTAAATTCATCATGGAGTAGACAAATGTGATTCCACGATGCACGTAGTGAGATCTCGTAAGGGAGAAAACTGGCCAAACCGAAGAATGCAGACATTGTTGTCTTACTGATCAACACTCGTGGGACAGTGCAATCAAACTTCAATAGGCGTTACCAGGTAGTCACACCCCTTGGCATATACTTTGCGCCTCCAAAGAGATAACGCAGCTGTTGGATCATCAGCTGCTTGATAGAATATTGGATCCTGACAATGTGGAACTGAGTATAGTAGATCGATGGCCGCAGCAACAGCGAGAAACTCGATACTAATGAAATTGATTCTCATATCCCTGTGTCCCAAAAGTAAGTGTATGGATTGGAGGGTCAAGTTTGGACTACACGTTGTGTGATTGGAGTGCGACACGCAATCTCAATGTAATGGACTGTGATTCACATTGAAATGAACCTTAGTCACTGCGATCACTGGGACCGTATTCAAAGTAGATGGAAATTGGGTGTTGCCCACCCGAAAACACTGCACAACCACGACGCGTTTCGATGTAATTTCATCTCATCAGGTGGAGACAGCAGGCCTCGATCCCGCGACCATTGGAATAGTAGCCCACACCACTACCCCTTTGGCTACCGTGTCACGGTGGGCAACGCTTTTGTCACCCACCGTGACCCGGTAGCCAAAGGGGTAGTGGTGTGGGCTACTATTCCAATGGTCGCGGGATCGAGGCCTGCTGTCTCCACCTGATGAGATGAAATTACATCGAAACGCGTCGTGGTTGTGCAGTGTTTTCGGGTGGGCAACACCCAATTTCCATCTAGTATGGATGTTTGGTTTAAATGGATAAAAGACACCTGAAATTACAAGTTAGCTCCCTCAAAGCATGATCCTTGGGAAGTTACACAGTGGTTTAAACGAGTTTTCCACTGATAATAGCAGCACTGAAAGTTCATTCGTCACAATTTTTTGATGTTTTTCACTGTTCCAGGACGATGAACTTTCAACTTAGGGAAGAGGTAGGAATCACATGGGGCTAGGTCAGGGCTGTAGGATGGTACTAGGGATGTTTTAGTTCGCAAAAAACGCTCGAACTGAAAGCACTGTGCGAACAGGCGTGTTACGTGGTGCAGCACCCAATCATCTACAATATCCCTTCGGACTCACTGGATCCATTAAGGCGAATGAAGCACAACCTAATCATATTTTCTGACAGCTTGCACAAGAAAATGCATGTTTCCAAACAACATGGCAATAATACAATCGCCATTATCCAAAAACACACGAAATAAGGTACATTATGTAGTGAAATGCAGGTCGAAGATCACCAGATCCACTAACTTCTAATTTAACAAATATGCCTGAATCTGGAACAAATTGCCAACCGATATCCGTGCTAGCAATTCAGAACAGGAATTTCAAAAAAGTACCGGCAAATACTTGACCGTGCAAAATGTGACCCATCTAGTGGGATGTCACATAACAAACAGCCAAGCATCTCGACAAAGCTCAGGATTTATATGCTTCAGAAATCAGTGTACAACAGAGAGCAAATATTGCCCCACACACTCATCGTCCTTAGCTTCTTCCTTTCTCCTGCATGGCTATGCCGAGGACAAAGTTATCACTAACAAGTGTGTGATGAAGGAAGGTTAATAAAACTTATCGCCACATTCTCCGTCCTCATGGTAGATGTTCCTACTACTTTCATTAAAACTTACACATTTTTCTATTAAAGGTGCTTCTCTTGCTCCAGTTTCATGTGAGTGTCACTACCAGCATTCGATACTACTAAATAACCTTGAACAAAGCATCCATCAAAAGGTGCTTAAAGACAATGTACACCTACTTTGTGTCTCTCCCTATTATTATTATTATTATTATTATTATCCACAAGAGACCTATCAAACCCGACACAGACATCTTATGCAACATCAGGTGACAAACTGAAACAACAAACAACCTTTATACCCAATCAAAATTGCAAATCGATTTCACTGCTGTTGTACATTTTTCGATCATTCGTGAAAATGCTTGATTTAACTGAACATGCCGTCACAGGCGTGTCTCACCAAAAAGGAGAACATAGAAACTATTTGTTTATTTACTTCTGTAGGCTTAATTAACTGCCTGTCCTGGAAGTACAAATTTTTTATGCACAATTTCATGGTTGTCGAAAAAAGGATGATCATCGTGTTCACTTTGGATTTGCTCATGTGCGCTTACTTCGGACGAGGAGAATTTTTCATTTACTATTCTTCAGTTTGCTGTTTGGTCTCAGGGTAATACAGGAACACCCATGATTCGTCTCTGTAAATTCTTTATCCAAGAAATTTGGTTCAATTACGAGTCTTCACAACAAATTCACACAAATATCCAACCGGTTCTCATTTCCCGCCATAAGCAAAACTTTGGGCCCACGTTTTGCACAAATTTTCACATGCGTAAAACGTTTGTTAGAGTTCTATGAACTGCATTTTTATCTCAGCCAGTTTCTTCTACAATCATACTGACACTATAAATCGGCGGTCTTCGTCAGCACAGCTCGAACAACTTCCGCATTGTGATCATCTGTTGACAAGGTTGGCGTTACGAAACGAGGTTCATTTCCAAAATGTTTTCGATTCTCAGTGAAAACTATGCGACCTACAAAGCAAATTCCTTGTTAGAGTGACACCTGTATATGCTGTTTCCGGTATTTCTTCGAATGTCTCGGTGGCAGATTTCTTGAGTTTCATGCGAAATTTGGTGGCGCACTGTTGTTTGAGATTTCGCTCCATCGCAAACATAAAGAGGAGTTAAGGCACGACCTTCCACAAACTGTGGCAACGCGGAAATGTCTAGGCCGAGCGAATTGAAACAAGTGTAAACATGCAGCTAAGATCATTACCCACGCGCCCATATCCAGCAATGATGTTAGTTTGTTTAGTAGTACATGGGAAAATCAGTACACAAAGTTTTTGGACACAGCAGTACTGAAAAATATAGAACCAACCTAGAGAATTCATATTTTTAGTGCCGTTAATCGTTCCCACCCAAGACCATTCTGCCTAGCAAAAGTGAAACCTGATCGCTTTAATCAGTGGACCTGAGTGGCATTCAAGTTTTTGACTACCGTTGCCCATGGATCATCTCATGTGTTAACCGACACCAGCGCGTCCGTAACGATGTGTCATGCAGGTAAGTAACAGGAATCAAGGACCGGGTAAACTGGTTGGATTAACTGTTGAGATTAGATGAATTGTAATGGTTTGGGCACTTGCTAAATACCCCATACCATCACTCACCGATGGACCTGCTTCAAGTAACTGGCCTAAGATGTTGTAAGGCTCATGAGAGACGATACTTAAGCTACCAACGGGAGACGAAGCCGCTGACTCCTAAATTACTTACTCTCGATCTCGCTTGCCTTCACGGCTACAGTAAAAGCGATCCCCTTAGATTTGTTTGGAAGCCGTATATGACATGGCTCGCATCCGGCACGAATGAAGTGCTCGCAGCTATAACGTAGCCAGGTGGTATGTTTAAAATGCATATAGTGTTGGAGATAAGACTCAGCACGATGTTGGACAGTGACAGCCGTCCCGTAGCCTTAAGAATCACAAGTCTGCCTTGTAATTCGAGGGAGCGGGTTCGAACCTACATAAAGACCAAGCGACTCTTGCAGTGACCATAGACCACGTGCGACCGGTGGTGGTTGCGCGGCAGCGCATTTTGGTACTGTGTACCGGCGTATTCCTGGTGTCTTCCTATTTTCATGTTGTTGGAGAGAAGTAGGCGTCTTCCATGCGAACATTTGCTCTTAACATCGAAGTCGCATTTCTCCTCTCTAATCAGGCCCCATTGATGTAGTCATCATCGTCGTACAGCAGCGACGTAGCAGTACAAACTGCTAATGCGTTGTTATTTTAGCTCGCGTTGTTGCCTCTGATGGCGAAAGTAATGATTTCTCACATGCACCATGTCAGATCCTGTGACCGGAGTTTCGCGTAAACTTTACGAGAACACTCCGACGTGTGGTGGAAGTAAAACGGAAGGACAAGTGCCTCAAAACGCACCATCGTCTAACAGTATATATGGTTGGCGGCATCCGGTTTCGAATTTGCCTGTTACTGTGGCCAGCCACAGGACGCCTGCGTCTACAGAAGGACCATGGGTGGCTTGCGTTGCACCACCCACACACCACATATCCAGTGTAAACCCGAAGGAATAAGACCGGGAGGCATGTGGATGGGAGCCACGCTTCATCAACGGAGCCGGCCCACACTCCTTCACAAGCACGCTGCATATGGGAATCAAGCGCACACAAGGCGGTGACTGGACCGTAGTCCGCTACACACTGAGCCACACTTTGATCCTAACACGGCCACAAGGACCGTGCACACCGTCCCCTCCAACAACGACCAACTGTCTCCTAGAGCCAGTATGAACGACGTAGTGGGTAATAGACAGGCAGGCACCCTGCCAATATGTACATCAAGCGCAGCCATAACGGGGATATCAAACAACAGCCAAACACTTGACAGAAAGGTAACAAAGAAAAAAACTCGAGTAATACAAAGGGAAACGGTGATATAAATCTTAAATTAATAAGCACATGAAAAAAGTTGTTTACAACTGAATCCGAGATACAG